TGGAGGTTTGGATCTACATTTAAACATCAAATTGGGAAGAAAGAAGAGGCAAAATCCCCAAATCCAACCAGAAAAAAAAAAGATTAAAAATGTAACAATGGCCGCTGATTCTGTGTTTGACATCTGTCCCTGTTCCTTCATCTTCATTAGAGCCAGGAAAGTTTCCATAGCTGACCCCAGACCAGAGCACTGTAGGAGCTTATTGCAAACTCCAGCACCAGGCTAGATCCTCTGAAAAGTTTGCATCATCTGCATGATCAATACATGAAGTCTCCATAATGAAACACTAGATCCATAAGGTTTTATTTCAGGAAAACCTGGAACCAGAGCGCAACCTGTGTCTCCCTGTTGGAACTGCAGATAATGTTTTGGGTTTTTTTAATACGGTCAAGCTGTGTCCTACTGTCACTCTTCAAAATGGGTTTTGATGGCAATGCATATCCTGGGCTGCGTCCCCAGCAGCGTGGCCAGCGGGGCGAGGGATGGGATTCTGCCCCTCTACTCTGCTCTGGTGAGACACCCACCTGCAGTGCTGTGTCCAGCTCTGGGGCCCTCAGCACAAGAAGGACACAGAACTGTTGGAGCAGGTCCAGAGGAGGCCACAAAAATGATCAGAGGGATGGAACACCCCTTTTATGAAGCCAGGCTGAGAGAGTTGAGGTTGTTCAGCCTGGAGAAGAGAAGGCTGTGGGGAGACCTGATTGCGGCCTTTCAGTACCTAAAGGGGGCCTATAGGAAAGATGAGGAAAATCTTTTTAGTAGGGCCAGCTGTGACAGGACAAGGGGTAATGGCTTTAAACTGAAGCAGGGTAGATTTAGACTGGATATAAGGAAGAAATTCTTTATAATGAGGGTGGTGAAACACTGGAACGGGTTTCCCAGAGAGGTGGTGGAGGCCCCATCCCTGGAAACATTCAAGGCCAGGTTGGACGGGGCTGTGAGCAACCTGATCTGGTTAGCGGTGTCCCTGCTCCTGCAGGGGGGTTGGACTAGATGGCCTCTAGGGGTCCTTTCCAACCCAAAGCATTCTGTGATTCTATGACCTTTCTTAATGGGGTAGGGCTTATGGAACGGGACGTTGCTATATGTCCTGGTTGTTTCATCGGGACAAATCTGATTCTCTCTTTCCTGCAATGAGAAAATGGAAGTAATGTTTAGTCTGGCCTTCCTCATGTTGATAGTCAGTGGCATGAGCTAAAGGCACATAGGCTCAGGTAAATGATGTATAGAAGTGAAAAGTATTCATATTTATTGTTGGTTTGGGTTTTTTTCATTTTATACTAAATGAATCTTCTGGGCATTGTTTTGAAAGTGATTCCCATATTCCTGGAGATATGCATGGCATGTGCTGGGGGTGTCCATGGACACCCAGCTTAGTTCCTTCTCCAAGCACTGGGCTTTCCCCACACCCCTTGGTGAACCAGGGTAGAGCCACCGTTCATCAAAAGATGGAGCCACACGTGCCTTGCAGGCCGTCCCGGCAGGCATCCATGCCAAAGACGCAGCTCCAGCCACTTTGCTGATTTTTGCCCAGCTCTGAGTCCCCAGGCAGGGCTAATGCTACTCTGGATCGCAGCGTGTGACACTTGAGCTGTTCTCAGGGTTAAATGCTTTTCAGGTAACTGCACTTGGCTACTCCTCCTTTGACTTTTTCTTTGCAGGGAATTAAGATCCAAATGAGCAGGGGAAAAAGGTTCCTTGTGCTGATGTTTGGGATGGTGTGTCCAGCTCCGTGAGCCAGTGCCAGCTGCAAGACAGGAGCAGTCCTCTTCCACTAATGAGAAATTCTTCCTAGACTCTCTTCTTGGTCAGAAAATTTTGTCTTAAATTTCTTTAAGACAAAGACCTAATTCTGCTCTTGCTGCCTGCAGTTTCAACTCTACCTCCTGTGCACTGCTCAAAATCACCGTAGAGAGGGCAAAGCTGGTACTGCCATTTAAAAAAAACCCAAATGTATCCCAGAATAATAAAGGCTGGAACACACAAATTGCAGCAGCGCTTTGTGAGTGCCCAGGTCTCTTCAGAGCAGGATGCCAAGTCCTGTCTCAGCAGGGTAGAGAGGGCTGGGATCAAGACTGGCTTTAGGCAAAGAGGTCCCATCTCCACCATGAGTTTAGAGCTCAGATGCTCTCCCACTGCTGCCCTTGCTGGTTTGCTCTGGGTGCAACATTGACTTCTGTCAGTCCTTGGGCAGCATACAGGGACCAGCATTCCCAGTGACATTAAGGTTGAGTTAACCGTATTCTGGAGGAGAAAAGCCATACGGACATAAGCTCCCTATGGAAAGTAGCCATGGCCTTAGGTGCTAAGTTGCAGAGCATCCTTTGGAGGTGAACCCCAGCCATGACCCTTGCCTGGAGCAGGGAGACTCTATAGGTGAGTGCAAACATGCAATGCAAATCCCATGTACCCTAAACACAGAGTCTCCACACGAATAAATAGGAGCATGGCTCCCTCGACTCTCTGCGCATACCAGGGATGCTGTTGACACTGAATAAGCAAGTGGTTGCGAATTTACCAGCTGCTCCTCCTGAGTCCTTGGATTAAGCCCTGGTTTGCAATGCAACATTTAAGAGGTTGCAAATATTTTCCGTGTGTTGAAAGAAAATTATAAACAGATTGAGCCTGGGTACAGTAGATCCACAGGACTAAATTTGACTAAGAAAATCTTTCAATTAAAGAGTGAGGCTTAAGGGGGATGGGGAGTGAGCTGGCATAGAGGGAAATTTTGTCATTTTAATGAAAAAAATTTTGTGGAAGTATAGTCTCTGAAAATGTCGAAGGAGCGTCCTTGTGCAGGAAAGCACATGATGTAAATCAGTATCTGCTAGAGCAGTCCATCTCTTGAATATAACAAAAGTAACCGTATGAAACTGCAAAACAGCACGCACTGCATTTTCATGGGGAAATGTGCTGTATTCAGTCATACTAATTACTGCGTGGGCTCAATTTTCAGTGCAATCAATCCACGGGAAACAAAAAGCTGCAGGGGAAATACAAAAAGACAGTTAGCTAATAGGAGCCAGATTCAATAAAACTGTGTCTGCCTTCAGGGAACGGCGAGGCAGAGGTGTGTCCCTTCTCCCTTGGCAAGGCACGCGATGGGTCGGGCAAAGGGTGTAGGGCTGAGAGGGGCTTGAAGCAAGACCCTGCATATGTATAGATATAGATATCTATACATATACATACACGTATAAATGAGGAGTACAACGCCTGTTGTGAGAAACTAGGAAAGAAAGGGGTTTAGTTCAAGTTTTTCCGCGTGGTGTCCAGGGTGCCGTCGTGTGATGGCACTTCTGCGGGTGCAGCCTCTGCCTGCCGTACCTCCTCCCCCGCTGTGCCACGAGTCACGGGCTCTCCAGTTGGGTTCGGTACCAGGGTGTTTTCCTCGCCCCGCTGTCAGCCCAGCCCTGCTGCTCCCGTCCCTCTCTGCCGGCAGCAAGCAGCAAGCCCCAGGGTTGCGGGTTCAGCCGGGGGGCTCCTGGGATGGACTTAAGACCCTAGGTGAACTTCACCTTTACTGCAGAGTTTCAGTTTAATGCCAATATTTTAGCAAGCTGTTTGGCCTGTTTGCCTAGCACTTAATAGGGGGATTATCCAGTTTAATTTTTTTTCTTCCAAGATGATTGCTTTTCGTTTTCAAAGTTGAATGTGTTCATTTTTAGTGGTAGCCTTCTCTTCCATTCAGCTCCAGACTTCCCTGGGAAATGACTCCATGGCATTATTCAAGCGGATTATTGCTTGGAGTGGCTGTGGCTGAATTACCTAGTGTTCACATAATGACAAGCTCCCAGTCCATATGTATTTAATGACTCTAATTGTTTATTATTTTCCCTTTATTAGGTTTGTTTTTAAAGAAAGTTTTACTGTGCTATTTATGATATGCTAAGTGGTGCAACTTGCTGAAAAAACATATCGCATATATTTTATTTTTTAATAGGTTTTGCTTGTTAAAATGGAAATCTTTTATTTACCCTAGTAGGGCAGGTTTTTTTCTGACAGTTTTATTATTTTAGTTACTCAGACATTTCTTTCCACTTTTGTTTCCCCAGATACTCCTCCAGGGAGTTTTAATGTGTCCATTCTTTATTTAAGATTGCGTTCAGCACATATTATTTGTAGCAGGGCAGAGGAAAAGCATAATAAAGCAGACATTAAATAGTGGGATGTCAAGGTTTTATTTTCTTTCCTCTTTGAGTTGTGGAATCCTTTCCCCGTCTGTGTCATCTGGTGATTAATTGCACTGATAATCTGCGCACCCTCATCAATAACTGTCTGCTACCAGTGCCAGGCAGGGGCCGTGCTCTGCCTAAAGAGTTTGTGGCTGCTGATAAATGAACATACATGTGTGAGCAAAGGGGGGGGGGACCCCTGAGAGCATTTAAAATTGCCAGAGACCCAGAGTCCTTTAATGAATTAATGCTCTATAGGAACTGGTGGTAACTACTGTATGCATTTCACTCGCCGATGAGGAAAGGGGAATGGGACCATTCCTCCAGGGAAAAACCCAAACCTTGGTTGGTGGAGTAGAAAAGTGAACCCCAAGGGCTCATACCAGCAGGGAGCC